TTGTAACTTCAAGGATCTAAATACCTTTTTATGTATCAAAGTATCTAGGATTGTGAATGCTTTGAATTTTCCTAGGTTCGGCTATTGTGAAAGCTTACAGAACCGCAGTGTTACCACTGGTTACACTCCATTTAAGATGGTATTACAAGATAGAGTACTGAAGCGAAGAAACTTTAAGGTGTAGTTGTTAGGGCGAGTCTCCGTTGACGACAAAGAGCCAAGAGCGAGTATAAATAAAAAATATTTTTTGATGAGAATAAGTTTTACTATGTGTAAAGTTTTTTTTTTTTGAGGAATTCACGTTAAAGTATTTAATAATGATGTGTGTTCTATTAATATTGATTTTTAAATAATGAAAGTTAAACAAGATAATTCACAGATCTTAAAATGAATTCAGTTTCATCAGATTTTTTTTTTAAATAACGCCTTACTCGCGTTAGTGAACGAAATGAAGAGCTCTACCAGTTACAAGTCACAACGGGACTCTTATTCACGAACAACGTAAGCGTCGCCAAGACGAATACATTTAGGAAATAAAATATTTCATTTGATTGAGATACCTAGAATTTTATTTTTGTAAACCCATGGCAGGATAAAGTTGTGGCTTCAATTTTTCTATTTTATCTAATTAATATAACATTGTTATTAGCTTGATTTTTATCGATTGAAAGTGCCTGTTAAAACAGTTACCTACACATTAATTCGTTGCGTGACTTTTCCGCTCAGCTCTTCAATGAAAACGCAGCCTTAAGCTAGTTGTATACCGCTCTTATTACGTACTTCTTTGTTCGTAAGCTGAAGTAGACTAAAATACTTGGTCTTTTCGGTTTTATTTTTATTCACACATTTTATGGGTAAAACAACAATATGTACAAAGCGACTCTTTCCCTTCTTTTGTTACTTTTGAAAAGTGGGCAAAGAATAAATTTGAATTGTTTCGTATAAGTAATGATTGATAATTACGCTTAACGGTCATAAAATTGTTAACATCTTAATTTATAAGATATCCTTTAGTTAAGGAGATGCAGCTAGTTAGTAAATATTCAATAGACACAAATACGCATGGAAAGATATCATAAATATATGTATAAAAAAAACATATTCTTCATTAAGTATTAAAGCTATTGAACTACCGACCCAGTTTATACAAATTAATATTTAATAGGAGTTTATTTTTAAATACCTTTAAAATTTTTGGACACGATACTTACTTTGTCGACGAAAATAAAATTATAACTACCCAACTTTCAATTTTTCATGTATTTTAGTTGTTTTTTACAATTCAATCATTGACGCCAATAGCTGCTTACGGTGCGTAGCGTTCCACGCGCGCCTCAATGAGCCAATAGACCACAGACCTGATGCAACCCAACAGGGCTGATGTTAAGCCGGGGTTGCAGGTCAAGCGCATTATTTAATTGTATTACGGCTTCGGCCTAGAGAAGGAGCAAACTGGATGGATTTTATTCAGTAAAAAATTGACACTTGATTTATCCCCAATTAGGTCGAGAGAAGTTATTTGAGGATTCCCCCCCCCCTCATAATATAAGACATAATATAAGAAAGTGTAAAAGTTAGTAATATCTGAAGAGTTCTTAATCCGAGAAACAGATCCACTACTTCTAATTACGCTTTCGCACTCGACCAACAAACCAATCTTAAAGGAACTTATTACTCGAACATTTTACAAGCTTCCAAAACAAAGCAGATACTCGTTGTATATTAGTCCAACTTAATGGCACAGTATTACCAACTTGCTGGTTATAAATGACAATCTTAATTACGTAGCACTAAGGTTGAATTTACTGGAGTTAAATCTACATAAATACCTTAGAATTCTACGTACTAATGACTTCGATGAACCATTTTCGTTGTACGTTTTTTGTGAAATAATAAAGTTTTAAATAATGCAAGATGTGGCATCTTGTTCATCTGCGGTCCTGAATTTTAAATGTCAACTCGTTTTTGCTTTTAGCGCTCAGGTGTAGTTCTAGGTTGGTAAATTTAATTTTAGGAGTCTTGGATATTATTTTAATGAAGGTAATATTCTGGTTTAACACTCTGTAAAGTACGTGTTGTTTTATCTTTCATTATCTGTTGACAACAACAAACTGAATGAGATGTCGTAAACAGTAACTAGATTTCTTACACAGTTACATTATTTTATTTATTTATATATACTTTATTGCACACATACGCCAAGTAGCAATATATTGGATACTATGACCGAATGTTCTGACGACACACTCACAATTGACGACTCCTAAGGCCATGACAATAAAATAATACTCTTTTACAAATAATTAGTTTCTCTGCTACCGGTAGCTGGGAGTCCTAAAGTTACTGTTCGAATACAGTTTTTTTATATATTTTGGAATGTTCAATATTAAAAATATGTATACATAATTGAACACGGAAATTTGGTGTGATCCACAAATGGCTGTTCCGGGTCTGGGTGTTATTTGTATGTGAAATTGTATGTTTGTGAACGCACCCACGACACTAGAGAAAATCTTAGTGAGGGGCAACATTTTTTTTTAATTAAAATTAACCAACACAATAATTAATGATAAAAATATCACGACCAATGAAATGATAATACAAATAATTATTTACAATAAATATTAAAGATTTTTAAGGAACCCCATACTTAACCGATAAGTCTAAATTCATTGCATCAATTATTAATTTTCAATCGACTTTAGGTAAATCTTCAATCCCATCATTATAGAGAGCCTTAACAGAAGTTACATTGAAGAAAGATAAAGAGTTTATGAGGCATAGTAAGCAGTAATGTTATCCTGTTATACGCTGAAGTATTCAGTGAACATGAGCGTAAAAATACTTTATAACTCCATCTAGATGCAGGTGCACTAAAACTGCAGAACGTGAAATCTTGTAGTTCTCATTTGTAAACGCGAATTTTAGTCTCAGGTGGTGTTATCTGCCAGTTTTTAGGGAAAAGAAAATAAATGGTTGCGATTGTTATCTTGCTGTTTTTATATTATTACAAGTGAAAAGTGACCTTGATTCCCAGATCAGTAATGTTCATATGGAATGAAGAATGTGTTTGACCGTGTTATAAGTACATACATTATCTACATTACTCAATCTGCCTATAATTGTCCACTGCACACATTTATTACTCTTGTTCAAGCTTATGTGTCCTTGGTATTTAAAATATCTTTAAAGGTATTTGTTACTCTAAAAAAGTCACATTTGTTTTTTTTCTGCCTAATTTCGAAGTCGCGCAATCGCTGCACATGTAAAAGAACCGGGTTCCACAACCTACGAGCCACCACATATTTTTTTTATTTATGAATTTCCGAGTATCTCCTTAATAAATAAGCTAGCTTATAATTAAAAATTTCAAGAATCAGAACAAGAGCATTTTCTCATCCATTACCTAGCTTAAGTATTTTTTTTTATTAAAACAGAGATTGACTACAAATGTCCTTAAACTGATAAAGGTAGTAAGTTCTTTCCAAAAAAAATGTGAAGAAGGATAAGTTTAAGACTGAACATCAGGCTATGTGACTAGCAAGGAACATTGTATCTTTATTACATCATCTTCAAAATTGCAGTCGTAATATTGTCTTCCTGCCTTTAGCTGAGACGGCGCTTTACTTAACCTCGTTCGAAATAATTTGGGAGAAGGCAAAATTGAACTCGGTTTCTCTACACTACGTGAGCCAAAATGGTTAGCAAATTGTTATTACTATCCAAAATATTATACTGATTCTGTTACCATCTAAGAACAATATTCATGTCCTTATAGATTATATAGAACTGGAAGATATGTTTGTTTATTATCTAGATCAAAAAGGGAACCTTCAAATAAACAAACCAGATTATCTCAACTGTTTATATATGCGCCTCAAAGGACCGATTGTGCCTTTTGAATTAATCCCATTTAGGACAAAAAGTCACATTAAGCCTATATTGTTTGGAACTCGACCAAATTCCTTGCAACTAACTTGTACTTTGTTTGTTTTATGATCCACTTTTGGCACAGGTGTCTAATCTTCTAAAATGTACATTCCAGTTGCCTTTTGTTAGAACTAGCTTGCTTCTGCGATCCATGCATTTGATAATCTGACTTGTAAAGTGAACGCTACTTTCATAACAGTTTCGATACAATATTTTGAATTTAAATATTGAAAGAGGTTACAAGACACCCACTTCTTTTTGTGGATGGTACTTACATACGACATTAATTTAAAAATGGACCAAAAATCAAATAGTCATAGCTACTTTTTATGGTTACAATCTTGACTACTTTTACAATTCATGCAAATAAAGCATTTTCACACAAAATGTCCTAAATCTGCGTCTAACGTATTTTTAACGATTTGACTTATTTTATGGACCATTTTCAGAGCAGGTGCGCAAAAGATTCAAGATGATCGGTGCCTGGTTACTACCAGTTTTATGAAAGCAAGTGTTAAAATGTTATTAGGATAAAATAATTTTGGTAAAAAAAATTTTGTAAATCATAAAATGGACGAAAAGAAAATAACATAATAAATAAGAAAAGAAAATACAAAGAAGTATTCTGATAATTCCTTTATGAACGATTTAATACAATCTATTCATTCTTAAATCCATTCATAATAGCTACTATAGATTGAGTATAAACCTATTTTAATGCTAGATTACTACTACTTGGCTTGAATTGAAATATTTTATTTGTAAAGACAGGTCATATAATGGTTTGTAATAATTGAAACAGTATCCTGATGCTTGCTACTTTTTAGAAGAGTAAAGAAGATGAGATACCCGTAGTATGAACATCTGACATCGCCTCAAATAAAGTCTCAACATATTTTGGTTTTAAAAATAATCACCGTAGTTTCTAGGTTTGTAAAGGCCGTGCAAAAATCTAAAATTTAAGCACAAAAATCACTTAAAACTTTTTCTACAATACTGAAAAGATTTTGAAGCTCGACAAAACTGTCTTTTTCGTAGTTTTATGGTCCTTTAGACCAGGTGTACTAGTACTAACCTTGTAACACATGGACTCTTGTAGTTGCCTTCATTTGAACAGGTGATTCCAAGGAGCAGGTGTAGTTGCCTGCATCTTCCACCTTCAGACGAGCCACCTGCGGAACGGAATTGCACTTTAAACTCTAAAACAAGGTCCTTTTTGTTTAAATTGTTTTGAGAGATTTTTATTTTAGCTGTAACATGATATCACATGTATTGTGTTATCCTACAAAGGGTTAGCTGGAATTCTAGGTGTGGTAAACCACTTTTATTTTAATGGTACAAATGTCTGAATGTAAGTTATGGTGCTTCCTCAGTGAGTGGCATATTCAGTTTTCTTACTTTTTAAATAAAAAAAAAAAATTAAATCGATAAAACTGCATAACTGCATAATAAATTATTATTATTATATACTTGAACACACTAGCAGCTTAGAAAGCTGATGCGTGCGTATTAATGGATTTGGAGATTTTGTCGAGTCTGTTGTTAAAAGAATTAACTGTGGGTGTTTTTATCACATTTTCTGGGAGTTTATTCCATTCCGTGACCACCCTATTAGGTAGGAAGTGTGTCAAGGGATTCAGTTTTGAGGATGTTCTGCATAGTTTTAATGAGTGTCCTCTCAAATTTCGATTTTTATTAAGAAGATACATATTCTTAAGTCCAGGAACGTTGTAGCAGTCACTCATTATTTTGTAAGTCTCAATAAGGTTTCCTCTGTCTCCGCTTTTCAAGAGTGGTGAGGCCAAGTTCGTGCAGACGTTGGTCATAGGGTTTGTTTTTAAGCAATCTGACCATCTTGGTAGCTTTTCTCTGAACACTTTATAAATGTATCAAATAATTTTAAAGTAGTATGTCTAGTAGGTCTATTTAGTTTAGGATATTTTCTTTTGTAACAAATTCTCAATTTGATATGTTTATTTTTATTATTACACTAAATTATAGTATTTTAAATTTTCTTCTATATATATCTTATGTACAAGCGTTAATTAAGTCTCCTTTTGTAAACATATGGGTTCCACACATATATATGTATGCATGACTAAACATTATTACTATGTAAATTAATTTTAAGAACTCGCATATTTGAGCACTGAGCTAACAAACAATATTGTTTGTGAAACAGAAAATTCTAGAAATATCGCGCACACTGACTCGTTGTTCTGAGAAAATATATTTATTTTGCTAATAAAACCTGCTATACACATATAGACTTAAGTATGCCTATTTAGTACAATGCTTAAAAAAAGTGATGGTTTATAATTCTGGCTTTTATTTGAAAAGTAAAAAAAATTAAATGTTTTCTCCCGCCATAGATTGCGCGAGAGGAGTGTCAATCTCACTAAAAACCATTCGGTTTTTTCTCATGCTTCGAGCTACGGCAGTTTGGATTAGTGATTTTGCACTCATCAAAAAAAAAAAGACTATCCTACTAGCTTATGTTTATGTAATGCAGGAACTGTTTGTAAAAATGATAATGCGTGAGCTGTGAGTAAAAATGATAAAACAGTGAAAAAACTGGAGACGAGTAACATTTGTCGAAATGTGCTTTTAAGATAACGTTTTTAGTATTATCAGCCTTCCACGCTGTAGGCAAGTAGCAAAGAATATTTAAGTCTCACTTATACTTTAGCCCGCAAATATATTGCGGCGATTTACAACGAACGGGAAGGTGGAATTACTGAAAAGTGTTGCTCAGGTCGGGTGCCAATGATAGCTGTAAGGATTTACGGAATTTGTAGTTTCGTTTAAAATCCGAATAGCGAATTTTTTGAAATGTTAGTATTTTAACAATTTTCTACTTTTTTTGTTTTATAAAACGTTGCCCTACACTAGGATTTTATACGGTGGAGCATACGGTAGCGGTATGCCCTGCCTGGGCTGAGCACCGCCGTATCCTCAGAGAAGTGATCGGCGGCGGCAACCTCTCGCGCCCGGCCTTAGTCGAGGCCATGGTGCGGAGTGAGAGGAACTGGGACGCCGTCTCCTCCTTTTGTGAAGCGGTCATGCTCGCAAAGAGAGAGGCGGCCCGCGTGAGGGAGCAATCCTCCTCCTCACGCCCCAGCAGCCGCAACTGGCGAGACTACGGGCGTCGGGGATCGAGGGACGATCTCCGGCCACCGTAAGCACGGGCCTGCGGTCGGCGAGTAAGGGCAGCTCGCCGCCCGACCAGAACCAGGCCCGAGCGTACGGCGCGTAGCGTTCCGCGCGCGCCTCAAAGAGCCATTCGACCACCACAGACGGGGCCCTAAAGGGCTGATGTTCAGCCGGGGTTGCGGGGTAAGCGCAATGAGGCACCGCGACCTCGGCACACAGCAGGAGAAGGAACAGGGGGGTTTTTAGTCAGTAAGAGTCTGACACTCCCTCCTGCCCGGCGCTGGGCGGGAGAAGTAATTTGATGAATTCCCCCTCACAAAAAAAAAAAACACTAGGATTTTCTTCTGTGTTATTCGTAAGTTTACAAACATACAATTTGCGTGCGGGAATCGAACCAGCGACACGTTGTGCGGCAGCCAGTTGCCCAGCCACCGCACCAACCGTGCAGTGAAATACGATTCTGCAGTAGCTCTAAGAATTTAAAAAAAAACGGTATTGCAGAATATAACACAAGAACAATGATTGCAACTGCAAACATCAATAGTTCCAACTCACAACTACAATTGAAATAACTTCATGCAAAATTTCTGTTTTACAAGCGTGGGAGAGGCACGCTTCGGCTTGAATGGGCCGGCTCGACGGTAGTGATACAACGGCCTCATCAAAACTGGCGTAAAGCAACTCTTACGTTGTATTTTGCTGTGTGAGTGAGGTTACCGGAGGCCCAATCATTCTCCACCCTCCATCCTCAATTCTCAAAGCCCCTATCCTTAAATCCTTAATAACTCACAAGAGGCCGGCAACGCACTTCTAGTAATTCTTTTGGTATAACGAGTGAACGTGGCCGGCGTTGATTGCTTACCATCATGTAATTTGGGTGTAGGCTCAGCTCGCCCCTTGGATCTCGCCCCTGATTGCCTAAGTGCATCAACTCGCCCCTTAAATTTTATTATTAGATACTCCAACTCGCCCCCGATTGTTGGTTAGTTAAAAGTACTGTCAGAACTCTAAGTTTTTAAAATACTTAAAGGAATATTTTTTCTTAAAACTTCAATAATGGTCCCATAAAAGGTCCCTTTTGTTACAGTAGGTAAGCCAGGTAATAAAACTATCACAAGTGGTTAAATTACTTACCAGTTTTGTTTACTGTACATTTTTCTGAATATACCTTTTTTAGTTAAATTTCAAAGGGAATGCCACAAGGGGCGAGTCGATGCATCAAAATAATTATTTAATTGTTAAATTTTTCACTCGCCCCGTAAGGGTTTTCGTAAGGGGCGAACCACAACTCCAAATTAATAAAAACGGGGCGAGTGGAACATTTTAATCGGAACCTGGGGCAAGATCCAGGGGGCGAGCTGATACTACACCGTAATTTGTAAGCTCGTGTGCTGACCCACGACATAAAAGAAAAAAATAAAACTAATATCTCAGATCAAAATTTGAGTTACCAAAAAAACACCACCAAACAGCTCAGACAGATTTAATTTTTGTAAGCCGCTGCGACTGTGACCACAACCCCGCCGTCCCACTTAACTCAAGCCTATCATACGGTAAATAGCATGCGCACTGTTATCTTTTCGACTATAAACGTTTACAAACGTAATTACTCTATCCCCCTAAGGGACGGACTAAGTAACCCTCATTTAGTCAGTTCAACATGTTTTTTTAAACCTCGTATTTGGAAAACACACTTGATGAAATGTAAATAAGCAATGAGATTTTTAGAAAGATATACCTTACTCACAGGCTTTTTGTAAATGGAAAATGGCCACGTCGAATTAACTAAGTTATTTTTATACTGCCTCAGAATAGGTAATAGGATTCTTTTCTCAGGGGTGTCGAGTTTCGTGACTAGATTTTTGAGATAGGCACCACTTTTTGTACAGTGATGTAATAAATAAGAAAGTAAATAAAATAATAAAGTTGTCTCTTTCATAAAAACAAGAACAGACTTGAAAAACTTTGTGTGTTACGTGCTGAACTTTAGGCCAACGTTTTTACAATTATTTTTTTGTCTACATATCACCGACATCGATAACTTTTCTTGAAGTGGTTTTTCTGTGTAAACAGTAAATATAATAGACATAACCACCATTACAGGACATATATTTTGTATGTCGACTTATGTAGATATTCCATCTGAACTTATCATTAATTAAAATAAAACTTTTTTAGGTAGGTACATTCTAAATGAAAAACCGTCTTTATTTCGTAACTTATAACATTCAGGTACAAAAAGTTTCTCATTAACATTAAAATAAATAAAATGAGTTTTATCCAGACAGTATTAAACTAGGTATCCATTTTTAAAATACCTACAGAACATTTATCCCAGATACGAGTTTTCCGACCACAATTTTATTTCCAATTCTTGCAAAGCTCAATTTTTTCAAAAGGGCATTATTTTTGCGCCACGAAAAAAGTCTACAAAGTCTCGTTTGGGAGGGAACAATGTTCTCTGAAACACAAAAGACTGAAGATTTTCTTACAGGTGAGCTGAAACCGGGTCGAGGTCAGAAAACGTTTTATTTTAGGCGTTACTAGCTCAATGCGGAGTTAGCAGGTCTGTCGAACTTCAGTGTAAAAGGTAACTAGGGAGGAATTGAAAACATTACGATGGTACTTGTTATTGGAAATGTACTAGAGAGGCTTTACAGAAAGGAGCTATGAAAGTAGTTTTCGTTGAAACATATAGAAGATTATATAAAAATTAAAACCTAATAACTTCTTTGAAATATTCAACTACTGTGTTATAACTACACATTATTATAACTGAAACCTCGAATGGAATGAGAACAAAATTAACTTGAACGGTATTTTCGCACGAACCCCAGAGGCTAAGTTTGTCCAGTAATCGTTTGTGAGACTTGTTAAGTAGGGATTTAATTATGATTAAATTGAATTTTATTTTGTTGGTCATTTCAATTATGATATTTAGTTTATAATTTGCCACATGAATGTACTTATTACGTGTATTGGAAAATATAGAAACATTTTTATTCATTCTGCAAATCATAGAAAGTAAAATCTTATAGTGGAAACTAGTTTTTGGCTTTGTTGCCACAATATTTAGCATTTGACCAAAGTAGCCAAAATATATGCTAAAAAGAAATGTGTAATATACCTGCAAATGACTAGTCAAGGTCAATTGATCAGTTTCAATGAGGACTCCTCCTCGAATTTCATCCAAGGAGGTTGTATTGTTGCCTCGATACCAGTGCATCTCTGGAACCACATCACCAGGGTGCAGATGGAGAATAGCGCATTTGAGAGACAGGGTCTCACCAGTCTCTAAAAACGCCTCTTTGCTCATCTTTATTGAGGGTGCTGTGGACAAATTAATCCAGGTTTATAAAAGCCAGTACTACTTATTTCATTTTCATAGCTAAGTAAGACAAAATGCCTTTTCTGCTACATGAGAATTCTGACAGGCAAATGAGCGTTTATATTGTTTAAATTAGACTCTACACATGATTGCAGTAATTATTTTTTATACTTTAGTTGTATGTTATAAATTTTGCAAAGACCTAACAAAATATGTACCTTTAAGGCTATACAATGTATAGTGCTTCGTGGATAAGAATGAAAAAAAAATCAATTGAAGTTAGACTTTTCTTTAAATGCCCTAGAGAGACGGTTGGTACTCGAAAGTCTGTCACTCCGATTTCAGATTCGGTAAACAATTGAGTTGCTTTTGCGTAACCAGAAATAAGCATTTTACCTAAAATATTCAGTTTCTATTGTGAGTGGTACGAGTATTGGCTAAAATTTCATTCTTATTTTTCGATTCGCAACAAACTTGAGTTGATGCCAAAGATAAAAAACCAATTAGAAAATTAATATAATTTGTAAATCAACAATATTGACAACTTTCTTGGTCATAATTTTTTAAATTTTAAAATTATGCTTTAAATTCGTTGTAGTATGATTTAATTTTTAACAACAATTATACAAGGAGTCTGAAGTTACAGTTAGAACAATACTTACGATGTACAGTTAGCTGATACCTCCTCAACATGGGTGGATGAGTTGAAACATGACAGCAATATACACCAGAGTCTTGAACCTTTGCGTCTGCTAAAGCCAGCTTCCAATTTTCACCAGCTAAATCTACCCTGTATCTGTAACAAAATAAATATTATGTACTTTGTAAACTATTCTTGATATTAATTTAACTATTTAATCTTCGTTTTGCCTCGTCATTTATACCGCGTACATCGAGGGATTGGAACAGTTTGCCGGCTGCAATTTTTCCGTCCGAATACAATTTAGGTGTCTTCAAGGCTAGAGTGAATAGGCTCTTAATAAACTAGTGCGCCTTACCATCAACGATTGCATCACTGCTTAACATCAGGTGGGATCGCAGTCAAGCACTGGTTTATTGCAAGTAAAAAAAAAAAAAATAACTTTTAAGATGACTTAATCTTATTAGAGGTTGTCCTGAGAAAGCTTTAGGTACAATCAGTTTCAATATCATATACGATTACGTAAGTTATTTAATAGACATACAATTTTGACTTTCATCAGCTCTGAGAGGTCATCTGATGTATTAAGCCAATCTAAAAAGAGATTTCTCGAGAATAATATTATACCAATAAGTTTTATGTTTACTCATGCCTCATAACATGCCTGTATTGTATCTATGTGACTATCCCCTTCCGCTTTTCAAAATTGAAAACGTCATTGATCTAGCGGTTGTTGCATGAACGAAATGTAAGGTCTAGGTTTCATGTTTATATAATGGTAATTGGTTTGTGGTGTCGGTGATTTAAGGTAGTGTCTATTATGTAGGTATGTGGGACGATCTAATTGGTTAAAGGTGGGCGTTCTGTAAAGGTAACTCTATCTGGGAATCTAGGCACTCATTACAAATGTTGTCAAAGACTTGTTTGTTGTTCTTTGAGCTATATTACACAATGATGGTATAGGTCGCATTATGATTGTGGCAATATTATTTGTAGTTTTGATAATTGCCAGTAGCAACAAAGATACTTAAAATATACGTGGTGTACAGAACAATTGGAATCGTAAAGTAAGTATGTAAGTATTAAAATTGCCTTTCAAGTACAAAAAACTGTTTTCTGGGAAAAATCCTATGATGAAAGGCGATATAAAGTAATTAAATATGTAGATATATTTGGGCGTATTCAATTATGGAATAGCTTCTGGTATTTTAAATTATTTTAAGATGAATGATATTAATATGCTACCTATCAAATAACGCCAAATATATTATATATTTGGTAAGTAGATAGAAATTAGAAAATAAGTCTTCTTTATATTAAACACGCCTAATCCAATTTAATAATCTCAAAATTGTTATATAAGGAACATAAGCCTCGCAAATGGCTTCGTTCATTTGGTATATGATCCAACGCTGGTATAATGAAGATTATATTTCCTTGTAATAGACGTTACGTTTGCTTGCGTTGTGAGGTTAAAGTGGAAGAATTGGAAGGCGGTCTTATTGACATTGCTTCAGACCTCAACTTTGGGCGGTTCATTGAGTCCAGAGCCAAGGTAGCTACTAGAAAACTCGGCGTTCTTGCAAAAGTCCGACGGTACTTCACACCGAGTCAGCTTCTAACGTTGTATAAAGCTCAGGTCCGATCGTGTGTGGAGTACTGCAGCCACATATGGGCTGGTGCTGCAAAATGCCACCTAGCGGCTTTGGATTCAGTGGAAAGGCGAGCAATGAGGCTGATTGGTGATCCAGATTTGGTTGGGTCCAATCTTCAAAGTCTCGAGCACAGGCGCAGAGTAGCCAGCCTTCGGACATCCCGGCGTACGGCGAATATCTACCCCTACGTTGTTGAGACACCTGCGGCCCGGACTAAGCGTTTTGCCTCGTCATTTATACCGCGTACATCGAGGGATTGGAACAGTTTGCCGGCTGTAGTCTTTCCGTCCGAATACAATTTTGGTGTCTTCAAGGCTAGAGTGAATAGGCTCTTAATAAACTAGTGCGCCTTACCATCAACGATTGAATCACTGCTTACCATCAGGTGGGATCGCAGTCAAGAACTACTTTATTGCAAGTAAAAAATAGTTGTATAATCCCAACTTTCCTTCAAAAACACGCATTCAATCAAAAATATGAATAAGAATCAGAGAGAATAGAGGTCTTCTACCAAGATTTGACTGCACGGTTGGTGCAGTGGCTAGGCAACTTGCTGCCGCGCAACGTGGTTTCAATTCCCGCACTGAAAACTCTTTGTGTGATCCACAAATTGTTGTTTCGTGTCTAGGTGTTATGTGTCTGTGACATTGTTTGTTTGTAAACGCACCTCCGACATAGAAGAAAATCATAGTGTGGGGCAACGTTTATACTTATCTTCACAAAACATACCTACTATATTAATATTTGTACTGTTTGAGAGAAAACCTTTTTTCCCTTTATTATAATGGGCTGAAATGTGTACAAAATGTGTAGGTAAGTATAGTAATTGTTGCTGAGTTTATCGTAAAAGAATATTTATGAAGTCATGAGGTATATACTTATATATACTTATATGTATTTACCTAAAATCAGACGTGTGCGTATCCAGGTCCACAGTTAAAAGTTCCAAATTCTCATCTTCCGATACTCTTATCCATGACACCTGAAAAAAAACACGTAATTATTTTTCGGTTCTGTTACCAAGCAGCTGAAAAGCACCAATGTGACTTTTTCCAAGTGCTTTCTAAGATTAGGTTAGTGGAGTCTACATACGGTAAAGGAAAATATTATGAGGAAACCTGGACTTATAAATTCTAATTATAAGTCCTATCAGCAATTGGCACTATATAGGTTGTTGATGATAATTAGGAATGTACTTAGATCTAGTATTAAACATTGCGTACCGTTTTATCCCTTAGTGCAGTCACTTTACAGTCGAAAATAACGGTTGAACCTGTGTCTGCGTCTATTATTGTGTCTTCTGAAGCCTTTTCTTCAAACGACGGTGGACGAAATCTGAAACAAAAGGAAATATGATGAGGTATTTGCAAAGCCATTATTTCCATTTTATTCATATGTGTATTCGGCGTTTAAATGAGTCACAAATGATCTTTTTTTTCGGCTGATATTTAAAATGGATCTCTGTTTTCGAACTAGTAGGGAAAATTGTCATCTTTTTTCATCTTGTCAGTGAGAGAATTACTTACTAAAATAATGGGTAGTGGGTAGGTATTGTTTATCACTATAAAGTCGCTTTCTCTGTCCTTATATCCATATATTTTGAGTGTACACTTATATCTTTAAATCTACGAAGCTGTTTTTGATGCGGTTTATTTTAATAGGTAGAGTAATTGAAGAGGAAGGTTCATACGTATAATAATAGCATAGCTTAAATAGTGGACAATTTTAGTATCAGCAGAAAAGGGGCCGGTCATTAGTTTATTATAAAATCAATATTATTTTGTTATAAAAGCATAATTAATAAAAATAACATATTACTTATATGAAAATGTTACCGAGCTAACCCCAGTTTTCTCCACAAATGAAATATTTATTAAAATAGACGAAGACAAATTGGACCTCCTTACTAAAAATACTTGAGTACAGCCGATATCAAAACAAGATTAAGAAACGTTTAAGTGACAAATGAGTTTTATCCCCAACAGATGAGAGAATAAAGAGTGCAAGGGATAGTGATAAGAAATGAAAAAAACTCCCAAAGACAAACGGAATATGAATTGCAATTTGATATCTAATAAGTACTCATTTTATTTTTATCGACGTTCGTCGTCTAGACTGATGCATTCTTTGGCCTGTTTAGACCTTAACAAAATGAATTGTTTTTAAACTATTGACTTGACTAGCAAAATCTCGTTGTGTTTCGCCGTGTGAGTGAAATTACCGGAGGCCTAGTCCTTTGCCGCCAGAGCAGGCGAAGGAACGAGAGGGTTTTTTGTCAGTAAAAGTTCGACACTCTCTCTCGCCTTACCCCGGGCGAGAGAAGTCATTTCATGTTTTTCCCTTGACAAAAAAGCACAGCCTGTGACTGTGTGTTTCATTTCTATTAAATAGAACACTTAACTTTACTATAGCATGACGTGCAGCATCCATATCTTAGCATTCATCATGGTCGGTAGATTATGTTGCGTTACATACGTGTACCTTGACTAAACTACATACATCGGAAAATGAAAAAAAATAGAGATAAAAATAATAAAATGGCTTCTCCCATTCTGGGTAGGTAAGAAAATGCAAATTGACTAACAACTGTCACGCTCTCATCTTCAGTTCCAATTCGGGCTGCGGTACATCAATCCGTTTGCACCGGCAACCTCGGCTGATTTAAATACTTTGGCTTACGTATTACGCTTCAGTGCTTAACCAAAATCAATATTTGCATGCAGGGAACACAAATTTCTATCGGATTTTGGCTTTAAACTAGATGTGTTTATATCTCAGACGTTACATCGTTACGCTTAGGGGAATACTCGTCTTGTTTGACGACATATTGTATGTTTTGTTTGCCTTTCAAATCCCAATGTCGTTCTGTTATTATGTTTATTTGTAGTACTGCGGTTTGGTACTTTAGATGAGGTAAAAGCTATTGGAGATGTGATGTGAAAATGGGGATGGCAAACTTTGTTCTCTAAACAAGCTGCATAATTTCACTGCGAGCAGCAAAAATTTTAAGGTAGTTTTAGTGGATAGTCTGACAAAAAACATATAATTATGTTTATATTTTTTAAGTTAAACATTATTTCAATCGTTTACATTTTTATTTAAACGTGAGAGGATGTTATATAATTCACAAATACTGGCCACAACTTTAGCCTTGTTCTGTAAATTTACATCACGTGTTTTTAATGTATCTATATTTTTTGTATCTGAAAAGGGTTGTAAGGCAAATTAAAGCCAGTTTTTTCCTTAGACTAAAGAGGAAACTTAATTTAAAATAAATTTGAGTCTAAAGCAAACTACAGTCTAAATTATAGACTATAGTTAAATAGGAGATTAGGTATTCAAAAGGATCTTAACCAAACCGTCACGAAATGTCAATAAGTTAGTTAATTATGTTCCTTCTTAGTTATTCTAAGGTCAAATAAAGGGAACGAAGATCAGGCCCCTACTTTAAACTCTATATAAATTCTGTTTAAGTTTGATGATTAAAATTCCAAATTTAGTTCAGAAACCCTCATTAAATTTTAAGGAATTAGCCGGATTGGTGAGATTCTTGAAAATAAAAGTTTATGAACTCGACGAGTTTCGTTGATCCCTTTTGCTAAAGTCTTGCTTGTTACAGTTATGAATGAGTGAAATACGTCTGTAAAGTAAGGTATCAAGGTAAATCAATCCCAGAGTTTTGTTTGTTTTTTTTTTGATAGTAAGCCAAAAACACCACAGTAGGAGTACGAGTGCGTGGCCGGCCTTTTAGGGGTGAGCGTTTCGGATACTTAAGAACTGGGAATGGATGGGGGAAGGGGGAGGAATTGAGCCTCCGGTATCCTCACTCATACGGCGAAACATAACGCTTTGGTTGTTTTATGAAGGTTTTTTGTGAGGCGGTGGTATCACCCTGGTCGACCCATTTGTGCCGAGGCTTGGCTCTCCCATACTTCAAAACGGATTCAAAAAAACTTTACTGAGCTGTTTAATCGATCGATAGGGTCAACAAACCGCCATCTAGGTGGGCGAGGAACGTCAGTTGATGATTTTACCCTCACAAAAAAGGCTAACAAGACTAAGAGCATGGACTTAGAGTTGCATGTATGAATAATGTATCAAAGAATCTTTATGTGACACTGATTTTAAAAATGTAACCATGGAGTTTCTTGCTCGTTCTTCTCCATCGGAATCTACACTTTGGAACGAGCAAATAGCTTCACTAAGAGGACTGACCGACAGACTGAGACTTTAAATCTTTAAAATTTTGTTTGACGTTCAAAAGTGCCTGTATGGGTGTAATAAATGATTTTGACTTTGCATAAAAACATATTCCAGTCGAAATGTTCCGTTATTGAACCAAATTTAAATTTAATTTAATATTAAGCCAAATAATCCTCATTCATTAAATAACATTCTATACTATCACAATTACGTATAAGTAAACACTGAAGCAAATTACAGTGACAAAAGTTCCATACGGCGAAAGATATATGTAGTATTGCGCAATTATTTAAAATGTAAACGACAGTCAAGTCAAGGCAGACTGTATAAACACACTTGTTTTATCACTTTTGTTGGTGAACACTCAGGTAATTATACCAGGTAACGTACCCAAGTAGGTACTGTTATATTGTCGTTCACGCACGTTCCAGTTTCGTTAGTTAATTAGGTTACTAGCCTAATATTTTGGACGGATCCCAAATAGAGGAATATAATAAATGTTTTTTGTAATTGTATTTAGTCAGTTTTGTTTTTGTTCTATGTATTCTTATTACGAAAGGATCCTAGTAGCGTTTTTTGAGTACCCAAAGGGTAAAAATGGAAAACCTCTGTCCAACTCCTCTGTCCATATCTCTAATACCAGACTTCTTTGTAAGGTAAATTATAGAATGTGTTTTCTAGCACAGGGTCAGGCGAAAGGGAGTGTCAGACTCTTACTGACTAAAAACCACTCCATTTCTTTTTCTGCGCCCGCAGCCCCAGATTCTGACACTCCTCTGGCCTCACCCTAGGCGGGAGAATTCATTTGATGATTTTCCCCTAACAAAAAAAGACTAGACAATTCAGGAAATTAGTAAAATTTTACAAATTATTTTGACGCTTCGTGAGTTTCTGTCTTGTCTGAATTTTGCTCATAATAACAGCTAGTTAGACTTGCCAAGGACGTGTTATAATCTGTTTAATTTACATTAAAATTTGTCGTTAAATATCTTGTTGAAAATTGAGATAATCTTCCTTAACGTTCCACAGACTAATTGGAGTAATGACTAGAGGAAATACCTTTAAATTAGGCTATTTAAGTTTGTCTTTCAGGATAATTTCGAAAGAAAGCCTTTTGCTTTTCTATAAGGTTGCTTTTTGAATAATTCTCGTAGATTCAAGGTTTATTCTTAGTTTATTCAGAAAGATGGAACGGGTTGGCTTCGGCTCCTCGTATGCCTTCCAATGGTCCGGGACCCTGTAGTCCCGTGAAAGGTAAGAAGAAAAATACATAAACTTAACATTAAACAATTTTATAACAAAACAATCAATCAATCAACACACTGCCAAATACTTTCCAAGTAATGGGTACTTAGAAAATATTCCGCAGTGTGTACCCAAAATGTACTCCGTAGTGTTCTGTTACATATGTATTTGCGAAGAAATGTGTTCTTAATTTATATTTTATATTAGTTTTGGTTATGGCATTACGCATATCAGTTGGTAAAGAATTTGATAGATTATACAAAAACTTAACTCATTAATTACAGTGAAAATTTCATAATACGTCTGTCGGAAATGTAAAGTGTTACTCGGAATAATGCTTGTTTTCTCTATCGGGACAGAAGCATTCAATATGTGTCATACCATTCATATTGTCAATCAATAAAAGGTCTACGTCAATCACAGACCATTCAAGGCGTATTGAAGGGACTACGCTTCCTTGTTGCCATAAAATCAATACCAGTCGTCATATGTCTATCAATTAACAATGCTACTTTATCTTTAAACAAGCGCCCCCTGGCGTCGCACGGGTGCTGTGTTGGAACTAAATTTCTCTACTATTTAGTGGATGTAATTATACATATTAACCTTCTTCCTCACTTCAAACATCTATTAAAAATACCGCGTCAAATTCGTCGCGTAGTTTTTTAATTTGAGGAACAGAGAAAGCGACTTTGTTTTATAATATGCAGTGATTATTTTCAAACTACGCTATAAGTTTACGAAATTATATGCAAATATTTTTAAATTAATATTAATATATAGAAACGATGGTTAGTTTCGAAAACATTACTCAACTTCGAGCCAAAAGAAGTAACAAATAAATATTAACATAAAATCGTTTTATCTAAAGATACAGCGAAATATAG